AAAGATGTTTTCTGTAGGGTATTGGAATGTCGCATAATATAGCTAATCGAATCGACGTTTCTGTAAGGTATTGGAAGTACCGCAGATTCCGTGCTACGTTCTGTAGGGTAGATACCCGAAATAAAACCGCCGGTACACTTCTGTGGGTACCCTTCAGAACACACCCTTTGTTCGTTTCTTTGCATGCTCGGCCTTTGTGCTCTTGACGTCACTTTTATCCCCGATTTTTCCTTCCTGCTTCCTTTTTCGTCCCATTTTTCTGGGTCTTTTTTTATTACATGTATATTCAGGACCTGGCGAATGACCATCAACCCTCGGGCTCCGACCACGTACAAGATGATGACCAACAACATGTTGGGCAAGTCATCGCCACCCGCCGTGTTGGGCCAGTAATATTGGCAACACCGTCATCGTCGCACGGCCGATTTCTTCTTCGTTCGGTCTGTCTTGTCTGTCTGTGTGCTCGTTTTCGCTGATGAGTTTTGGTTTGTTGGTTGCGTCTCATAAGGTAGCCCGTGTTGGCGGAAGAAGACGGAGGAAGTCTGTGTTTTGCCAAGTAACGAAGCGCGTGCGGTTGGTGGTTGGAATGGTTTATTGTTGTAGCCGGTGCTGACGGAAGGTTTATTGTAGCCAAGGTAGAAAGCCGAAGTTGACGGGAAAAGACGAAAGTCTTTGTTTTGCCAACAAATATATCCAGACGTTGCGGCCGGAGTTCGGCAAGAGCATCATCAGCGGATGGTAGCGACTTGGCCCGACCGACCGTCGCATTGCAGCTACACGCTGGGAACTTGTCGTAGAAAACGGCGGTGGGAAGTAGTCCTCACCATTCGTTAAGCACGCACGTTTGCCCTGAGAATTCCAGCCGAGTGCTGCGGGTGTACGTAGGTTCGCATGTAGTCTTTGCACGTCCTAACATCCCCGAGTGTCCCGTCTTTGAAATGTTGAACGGGCCAGCAACAAAGCCAACTGTATGCCAACGCATGTAGACTTTTGGAGCGTCATAGACTAGTCAATCGAGATCTGGAGGGTCTTTGAGAAAGTACCGTTGGGGTATTGTATGTAGGTTGCACCACCTAGGAGGAGAGTGTTTTTGCTTAAAAATCCAACTACTCCTTGTTCAAAACGTCCTAGTCCATTCTATATATCAACGACCAAACCACATCCTGGCCGGCCGGAACCCTGCGAAAATCAATCGTGTCTTCTGATGATGACCTGTTGTTGTCACCGGGAAAAACGTGAAAAACATTCGTGGCACGTAGGCCCCAAAATCGAAAATCGAGCAAAAAGAGGGGGGAGGGGGGGGGGCGCGGACATAAGGGACTGATCGACGGGTTCAACACCGACGCGTTTGCCCCTTCTGGGCGTTGTCGGACATGCACATATATTCGGCCCTGCAGACCACGGAGATGGACTCAGGGCACCTCCCAGGCTCGCCCTCAGTAACCTCCGCTCAGGGAGGATTCATTTGGGTGATCGTATGCATAAATGCGTGGATCGTGTTAAATTAAACATTTATTACGTCTTGGTCAGAGGTAGAACAAGCCGTGGGGTAAGCAAGGGCTGCCTTCGCACCCCTCTTGCATGTTCGTTTTCGTGTGCTGGCCTGACTGGGTGAGCCGCCCCGGCTACATTGTGGAACATATTGACCAGAATGGGGAACCTCTTCGTTGGGCTTAGCGAGTAATTTAAATATGTGCATTGAGCATGTCGGTATTCTGTGCTTACCCTTGCCGCACCGATGCAACCCACATGTTGTGGCAACCCACATGCTGTGGCAACCCACATGTTGTGGGGAAGAATGTTTTTCTGTGGATCAAGGCCAAACCGAAATACACTGCATGCTGTAAAATCAATCTTGACCCTTTCCTTCACTTGCTTAAATTTGCTTGCATCGTTAACTGTTGTTAACCTGGGGGTGGGCAACCTGCAGGACGTGTCCCTGTGTCTCAACATGGACAACAACATGGACAACGTCGATGCAATAAAGTTGTCAATTAGACTACACCCAACCAACACCACAAGTAACAGGGTTTTCGCCTGATTGAGAGCGGAGTATACGATTGAGAACGGGAGCCAAAAAAATTGAAATTTCGGGTCCAGACGCCTCTTGCCATTTCTTGGGAAGTAGGGGGCGGGCTCTTCCAAGAAGCGGCGCAAATTGAAGGTCTCATCAGCAGCGTCACGGCCTGTCCTCCATCGGCCGTTTTGCTTGTTTGACGGAGAATAAGAAGGTGGAATTACTTGAAATTAGTATAGAAATAAAGTTTGTGTATCTAAATCGAAAATAAACGGCCGATGGAGGACAGGCCTAGCAGCGTCACGAGCATATGCGTGTCATCGCGATCGGATGCTGCAGCTAGGAGCTAGACAAATTGCTAGATTTCCCCAGATTGGCTATTCCTGCCTCAAACTGTTTCAGGGCGATTTGATCGCGGGCGGTGAGCTCTGCTGTAGATTCTGCTCCCCGCTGTAGCTCCACAACGAGAGACGCCCACAGGATGACCAGGGTATCGGCTTGTAGCTACGGGCTAGGCCTTCAATTCAAGTCACGCAGCAAGCTCCACCTCTCAGCGGTAGTCCAGCTACAGCGCATCGCGCAATCTCGCTCTCAATCAGAAA